CATCCAAATATGCTCACACTATATATTTAACAGGTTACTTGAGTATCAAAAGATAATTATATGTGTATATGCTATAGAACTCTAGTCAACTCATGCTATATCTATCATTTCCATACACATACTTGCCAAATCTTCAGATTTATCAATAGGATCTTGTTAAGAGCTTTCAGTCGGTTACAAATGTCTTTTTGTTTGTCCCCCAGGATACTATGGGGACGGCCTAAATGCCATCATTGTGTTTGCCGCCTGTTTTCTGCCAGACAGCAGTCGGGCGGATTACCACTATGTCATGGAAAATCTTTTCCTGTGAGTGATACTTATGACAAAGTGCTTTGAGTAAATAAATGTCTGTGGGTATTTAAAAGCAATTAAGGGAAGTAGGTGATGTAGAGTATCCTGAGTCTTTGATAAAAAGTTAATAAGATTGCTGTCAAGGAATGTTGTTTAAGAGGCTAGAACCTTTAAAGGAATTCTTTTGTCAGTAGAATTCATGGAAAATAAAGTGAGCAGAGTTTGGCCTCCCTCTAAAATGTCTGTAACATTTCCTTTGCACAAAGTATTATTTTTGTTTCCTGATAATAAGTTCTTAATCCACTGATGACAACTTGACTTCATTTATCTCTGCCCTTGTTTAATATGAGTTGCCCTTAATGTTTGATGACATAGTTATCATTTCTGAAAGTCAGATTTATAACTCATGTATTTTTCTGTGGTACCTGAATTTAGAAAACAAACAAACAAAAATTAGATAACCATACAAAGATATGAGTAGTACCCTCAGAGAAATGATCTTAGGTAATTGCATTGTTCCTGAGATAAAGTGGTAATAAATCACAACTCTACTAAAATGTCATTCACTCTGTAATTTGTTACATAATTATGGTGTGAACAGGATGAAATACTTCACGTGGAAACTGAAAAACTCCTTTTCCTTCCTGTGATCAGATACGTAATAAGTACTTTAGAGTTGATGGTAGCTGAAGACTACATGATTGTGTATCTGAATGGTGCTACCCCAAGAAGGAAGATGCCAGGGCTTGGATGGATGAAGAAATGCTACCAGATGATTGACAGACGGTATGTGGACTCCATTATTTAACTACTGGGTCGACTCCTTCAACAGCTCTCATATCAGATTTCCTTTTAGTCTACCAAATATGCAGTCACATTTTAAAAACATGGAGTTATGCATGTTTAAAGCAATAAATTATAGAAATACTAATAAAAGTGTCACTTGACACCTCAAAGTTGAAATAAAGTACAACCTTCCCAGATTTTGTGAATAGAGTCAAACTCAACAGACCAAGTCTATTTTAAACTATGCATGTGCTATTGCCATATAGTTATGTGACTTGAGCAGATCAGTTAAAGTACCTGAGCTTCTTGGGTGGTATCATGTGAATTGGTTGCTGTTTTGTGCACTGGGACAATGGTGGTCTGCAGAGCCACTGTGCTCGTGTTTCAGTGTTCACTGTCCGTTCAAGGTATCCAGTGCTTTTGTGTCCTTGAGATACTTCTGT